AGAGTCCATCTCAGCCAGTAACAGGTATGGTATCTACATGGCTGCCATCCCAGCATGCATGAAGCATAAAGAGTAGCATCATGATCCTGACTGGTTCTGGCATGAACATGAGACACTACACTATCCCCAAAATAACCAAAGCAGTAAGGGCTGACTTTGTGGCTCAAGTAGTAGAGTGTCCAGCCCCATGTAGCACATGGGGCTCATACACACACACACACACACACACACACATAATGCATGCACACGTGCACACACACAAACACACACACACACACACACACACACACACACACACACCTATCCCCCATACCCTCCCCACAAAAGACCTGAAGTTTGGTTCAGCTGTGTGAAGAAAATGAATGCAAACTAATAAAAATTATTCAATGACCACTGACCTCTAGTTTCATGAGTTCTATGTGGAAAAGTTGTTTGTTTCTTTCCAATCTATAGAGTGGCAATACTTTTTATAAATAGGAACTGGTAACCACTGACATTATTGCCAGTAAGAGTCCAATTAAATCACCATATAGTCTTCAAGTTTAGAATGGCTTTTGATGAAAAGAATGTGGTTAACATATAGAAATGTTTACTTTTTATTAGAATTTACTGGACAGCATTTACCTTTACCTCTCAAATACTCGAGTCTATAAAGTTGAAGTTTGTCTTGAGACTAAGAATTCTTGAGACCGTCTCCAAAATAACCAACAAAAAAGCCAAGCTGGAGGCATAGCTCAAGGAGTAAAGTACCAGGCAAACAGGAGGCCTTAAGTTCAAATCCCAGTAATTATTACTACTAATAATAATAAAGCACTGAACTTTTTTTTCTTTTATCTTTTTCTTGGTCATAGGGCCTGAACTCTGGGCCGGGGCACTGTCCCTCAGCTCTTCAGCTCAATGCTGAAGTACCACTTCTGGTTTTCTGTTGGTTCACTGGAGATAAGTGTCTCATGGACTTTCCTGGTCCAGGCTGACTTTGAACTGAAATCCTCAAATCTCAACCTCCTGAGTAGCTAGGATTACAGACATGAGCCACCACTCAGATTCTCTTTTTTTTTCAAGTCATGTTTACTTTGGAGTCCAGGATAACCTTGATTTTGTTATACTTCTAGTTCACCCTCTCCAGTGCTGAGATTACAGGCACACACTTCCATACCTGACTCTTCACATTTTTGTTCTCTGGTTTTCTTTCCCTAGAAGTCAGACACAAAGGATAACAACTATATTTTTGCCTTTCTCCATTTATTCTTAGAAACTTCATTTAGAGTACCCTTAGTTTTTTGTTTATCTTCATAAATGTCTTTATTTCATGTCCAATTTTGAAGAATAGTTTGGTGGGCATACCAGAGTTGGTAGTCATTTTGGGAAAGATGCTTGCAAGCTGTTTGGGTTTTTTTTTTTTGGTCTCCCTTTCACCACTCCCCAACCCTTTACTGAGGATCAAACCCAGGTCCTCACACATGCTAAACAAGTGCTCTGCTATTAAGTTACATTCAGCCTCTTGTTGACTTTTATAAATACTTTTACCAAACTCTTTCTAAGCATGGGTTTCTTATTTCCATGGAATATGCTGTGCTCCTAGATTCTTAGGTCTGTAGCCCTCATGATTATTGTACATTATAATTGTCAGTTTTTTGCCTTTTTAAGTCTCTCAAAATAATGTTTAATATTGTGAAAAACTTCTTTAATGAATCCATAGTATCTGGTTTCAGTGATTTATGTCCTACATTTCTAAAATTCTGTCTTCTAAAGTCAGTTCCTTATATTGTCCTCATCCTTGTAATTCTATTTTATAATTTTTTTTTATTTTTATAATTGGTTGGGTGTTCTTTGTGAGATAGTGTTTGGCTTCATTTTGAAGTTGACTAATTTGCATAAAATTTTTTCCTTCTAAAATGTGAAATGAGGGGCTGGGAATGTGGCTTAGTGGTAGAGTGTTTGCCTAGCATGCATGAATCCCTTGGTTCGATTACTCAGTACCACATAAACAGAAAAAGCCAGAAGTGGCCCTGTGGCTCAATGATAGTGGACTAGCCTTGAGCAAAAGAAGCTCAAGGATGGTGCCCAGGCCTTGAGTTCAAGCCCCGGGACTGTCAAAAAATAAATAAAACAAAATGTGAAATGATTTTGCTTCTGATTCATCCAGGCATAGAAAACACCCTTATAGCCGGGCGCTGGTGGCTCACGCCTGTAATCCTAGCTACTCAGGAGGCTGAGATCTGAGGATCGCAGTTCAAAGCCAGCCCGGGCTGGAGAGACCATGAGACTCCTATCTCCAATAAACCACCAGAAAACCGGAAATGGCGCTGTAGCTCAAGTGGTAGAGCGCTCGCCTTGAGCTGAAGAACTGAGGGACAGCGCCCAGGCCCAGAGTTCAAGCCCCACGACTGACCAAAAAAAAAAAAAAAAAAGAAAACACCCTTATATGGGGCTAGGAAGGTGGCTCAGTGGTAGAGTGCTTGCCTTGCATGTATTAAGTCCCTGAGTTCGATTTCTCAGCACCACATAAGCAGAAAAAGCCGAAGTGGAGCTGTGGCTCAAGTGTTAGAGCAAGCGCTAGCCTTGAGCTGAAGAGCTGAGGAATAGTGCCCAAGGCCAGAGTTCAAGCCCCACGACTGACCAAAAAAAAAAAATTGTTACTTAGATGTTACATTTTCTTACATAAAGTTGTACCGGAGATTTCAGCACTGTCAAGTATAGGAAGTATTTTTTTTTCCTTTACTTTTTCCCTGCATAGTTTCACTACTAGGCAAAAAATGGTTTTGGTTCCTTTGTTTAAATTGCTTTTCATCTTCTTGTTTTCTTCACAGAACTGGAGCTTGAACTCAGGGCCTAGTATTTGTGAAGCAGGTGCTTTAAAGCATCACTTGAGCCTTAGCCCATTTTGCTTTTTAGTTTTCAAACAAAGGCTTTGAGATTTTACTTAGGGCCAGCCACAGCCCACAATCCTTCTACCTGTGTCTCCCAGTACTTGATCCATATGTACATGCTACAGTGGTCAGGTTTTATTAGCTGAAATGGGGTTCATTCACTTTTTATTTGGGTTGACCTAGAACTATGACTCTTCTGGGTAGTTGAGATTACAGGCATACTCCACTATACCTTCTAGATCTAACATATTTCTTTAAATATTAAAATTTTTATAATTTGCTGGGCATGATGTCATACATCTATAATTCCAGTTATTCAGGAAGCTAAAGCAGAAATATTGCAAGTTCAAGGCCAGCATGGGAAATTTATGGAGACCCTCTCTCAAAATAAAATTTTTGTTTTGTTTTGCTAGTCCTGGGGCTTGTAGTCAGGGCCTGAGCACTGTCCCTGAGCTTTCTTTGCAAAAGGCTATGACACTCTACCATTTGATCCACAGTGCTTCTTCTGGCTTTTTCTGTTTATGTGGTACTGAGGAATTGAACTTCATGCATGCAAGGCAAGCACTCTACCATTAAGCCACATTCCCTGCCCAAGTCTCTCAATATTTTGACTTTTTTTGGGGCGGGGGGAGAGGGGTGTCAGTCCTGGGGCTTAAACCTAGGCCCTGGGCACTGTCCCTGCACTTCTTTTGCTCAAGGCTAGCATTTTACCATTTGAGCCACAGTGCTATTTTGGATTTTTTCTGTTTATGTCGTACTGAGGAATCGAACCCAGGACTTAATACATTCTAGGCAAGCACTTTACCACCAACCCACATTCTCAGCCCTGTCTCTCAGTTTTTTGAAAGACTATAATCTGGTTCTGAACAGATCTCCTAAAACTGCTGTTATTTAATATATAATATTTTCAGCTATGCAAATTAAGATGATGTCTCATTTATATACACATGGACAGACAGACAGATAGACAGATCGATAGATAGATCGATCTCAAGGATTGAACATTTTCCCTGAGTATTTTTGCTCCAGGCTATCATTCTACCACTCGAACACAGCTCCACTTATTTTGGAGATTAGAGTCTCATGGACTTTGCTGCCAGGACTGGCTTCAAACTGATCCTTGGATCTCAGCCTCATAAGTAGCTAGGATTACAGGCATGAGCCACCAGTAGCTTGCCAAGGATGTCAGTGTAATTTTTATGTTTATATTTTCCTTTATTTTTAGCAGCACTAGGGAATGAACCCAGGGCCTCACTCATATTAGGTAAGCTGTCTAACAATGAGTACATACCTAGTTTGTATTTTTTTTCTTTCCTTCCTTCCTTCCTTTCCACCTTCTTCCTTCCTTTCTTGTTTTTTTTTTTTCTTTCTTTCTTATTTTGGCACAGTTTTGGAGTTTGAATTCACAGTGTCTCACTTGCTAGGTAGGTGTTCTACCATTTGAGCCATGAATTCACAGTGTCTCACTTGCTAGGTAGGTGTTCTACCACTTGAGCCATGACCTCAGCTCTTATAACTTGCATTATTTTTTCCAGAAGTGTCTGGTGTTTTTGCCTGGGGCTAGCCTGACCACTGTCCTCATGCTTCCTACATAGCTACATAGCTGTGATCACAGACATGTACCACTGTGCCTCACTCACTTATTGGTTGAGGTGAAGTCTTGTTAACTTTTTGTCCATGCTGTCCTCAACTGTAATCCTCATCTCTGCCTCCAAGTAACTGGGCATTAGCCACCGTATTTGGCCCAGCTATGTTTTCTTTTTTTTTTCTTCTTTGTGTTCTCTGTATTAATTTAAAACATCCTACATAGTGTCATTAATCTTCCTAGGGTTATTTTATATTTGAGGGGGAACAGAGGAGAGGATAATTAGCTTCTAGGTATGTTGAAAAAATCTACTTTAACAGACCTGGTTCTCTCTTTGAAGGGAAAATAAACTGTACAATTAATTCTTTTATCCTTTGTAAATGAAAAGATTTGCTTTGTTGGCCTTTGAAGAAACTTCCTATACGTTAACCTCCAAATTGTGAGGCTCAACTGTTTTGTTTTGTTTGTACTGTACAGCAAGATGTTTAGATAAAAAACCTAATCATGAGGGGGAGGTTCAAGTGACTCTTTTCTATATTTTGTAGGGCAAATGAAAAGAACTAAATGTGCTGACATTGATGTTGAAACACCAGACTCTATTCTGGTTAATACAAATCTTCGAGCACTGATCAACAAACACACTTTTTCGGTTCTTCCTGGAGATTGTCAACAGCGACTCCTTTTACTGCTTCCAGAGGTAGATCGACAGGTACGTGATAGCAAGCATAAGCAACTTTTTTTTTTTTTGGGTCCAGTCATGGGGCTTGAACTCTGGGCCTGGGCACTGTCCCTCAGCTCAAGGCTAGCACTCTACCACTTGAGCCACAGCGCCACTTCCGGCTTTTTTCTTTTTGCTTATGTGTTGCTGAGGAATCGAACCCAGGGCCTCATGCATGCAAGGCAAGTGCTCTACCACTGAGCCACCTTCCCAGCCCTGACTCAGCTTCTTAAGTGTTGGTTTTGGATTATGGGGTGCCACTAAGTCAAGGTTTTTTGGTTTGTCTTTGCATATTGCCTGAATTTGCCTGATTTACTTTGATAGGCAGTTGTTTCAGCACTGCCTCTTTGTGTTTGTTTTGTTGTTTTTTGCTTGGTTGGGTTTAGGGTTAGGGTTTGTTTGTTTTTGTTGGTAGTGGGACTTGAACTCTGGGCCTGGGCGCTCTGCTGTCCTTCAGCTCTTCAGCTCAAGGCAAGCGCTCTGCCACTTGAGCCACAGTACCACTTCTGGCTTTCTTGTAGTCTATTGGAGATAATAGTCTCATGGACTTTCCTGGCCCGGACTGGCTTTGAACCTCTAGTCTCAGATCTCAGCCTCCTGAGTAGCTCGGATTATAGGCGTGAGCCACTGGTTTTTTGTTCTTGTTTTTTCACTTCCAATACTATTTTTTAAATTTTTATTTTCTTGTAATGATGCTGTACAAAGAGGTTACAGTTATGTCAGTAAGGTAATGAGCACATTTCTTGTTGGGTATTCTAACCCTCTCCTTTGTTTTTCTCCCCTTATCCCTTCCCTCCTCCCCCACTCCTCCCTCCCCCCCAAAGTTATAAGGTTCATTTCCAATATATAGTGTGTTGTGAGTATTATTGTTGCAGTGGGTCATCCTGTGTCCTTGTTTCAGCATTTTGTTACTCCCCTTCCTCTCCCCAAATTAGATAAATATATATACAAGATACAAGGTACCAAAATCAAATACAGTAACAGCAGGGATATATCATAGGGGGAAGAACATACAAATGAAACAAAAAAAAAAATCACATAGTACATTTAGAAACAACAACAACAGAAGCCTGAGTACAGGGAGGGGGGAAGTGTAGGAATTAACATATTAACATTTCACAAGACTCTTGTCTATACATTTAATAAACATACATAACAGTGTACACAAACAGTTATAGGGAAAAAACTGTTTCATATCCATTAGATTAGCAAAAGTTTAAATACCTTGTTACCACACATTAGTAGGAAAAAGGGCATGCTTACATATTGCTTATAGAAATGTTGATTGTGGGGCTGGGAAGGTGGCTCAGTGGTAGAGCGCTTGCCTTGCGTGCATGAGGCCCTGGGTTCCATTCCTCAGCACCACATAAGCAGAAAAGAAAAGCCGGAAGTGGGGCTGTGGCTCAAGTGGTAGAGCGCTAGCCTTGAGCTGAAGAGCTGAGGGACAGAGCTCAGGCCCAGAGTTCAGGCCCCACGACCAGACCCAAAAAAAAAAAAAAGAAATGTTGATTGTTCAAACGTTTAGAAAGTAGTCCGACATTATCTAATTACACACATGCTGATATTCTATTGTAGAAACTTAACCCTTAGAAATAAAAGCACTAGCATATTTATCTCTACCAGGTTGCTTGTTGCAGCTTTGTTGGTTATAGGGGAACATTGGAAACAAAGCTATACCTATCATTAGGGAACTGGTACATTAATTAAATGTACATATAATAAAATATGCAGCCATTCTAATGAAGCTCAAATTATTTAACTTGGAGAGACTTTTGTAATGTAGTCTAAGAAAAATGACCTATAGCATAGTGCGTATAACTTGGTATGATTTTTTTTGGGGGGGGGAGGGAGGTCCAGTCTAGGGCCTGAACTCTGGGCCTGGGCACTGTCCCTCAGCTCTTCAGCTCAAGGCTAGCACTCTACCACAGCACCACTTCCAGCTTTTTTTTCTGCTTATGTGGTGCTAAGGAATTGAACCCAGGGCCTCATGCATGCAAGGCAAGCACTCTACCACTGAGCCACCTTCCCAACCCCTGGTATGATTTTTATAAGCAAGTAATAACTCCTTCTCAGAAGAACAAATTATTATACCTGTATTTATGTGTGGCCCAAGAACAAATTGGATTTCTTTTGATTTTGTTTTATTGAACTCAGGGCTTTACTGTTCTAAGCAGATGCTTTGTCACACCCTCAGCTCTGTATGTGTATGTGTGTGTGTATTGTGTGTTTTAGTTTTTTTGCCATAGAGGGTTACATTTTTGTTCAGGTCTAGCCTTAGATTTCAGCCTTTTTACTGTGCCTCTCACATAGCTGGGACCACAGGTATGTACAACCACATCTAGCTTTTACTGGTTGAGATGGTATTTCTTGAACTTTTTGCCTGGGTTACCTTTAATCCAAAATCCTATTGATCTTTGCCTCCCAGCTAGGTGGAATTATAGAAGTGCCACCACTGTGCTCACCTGTGAGCACAGTGTTTTTTTTTATTTCTCTATGTGTATATCTGTCTGTCTCTGTCTCTGTCTCTGTCTGTTGGTCCATTGGTCCTGAGGCTCACTCAGAACATGGGCACTGTCCCAAAGCTCTTTCATTCAAGGCTTGCTTTCTACCACTTGATCGATACCTCTATATCCTGCTTTTTGGTGGTTAATTGAAAAGAAGAGTTTAATAGACTTTCCTTCACAGTCTGGCTTTGAACTGTAGTCTTTAGATCTTAGCCTTCTGAGTAGCTAGGATTACAGACATGATCCACCAGTGTGCCCTGCTGAGTAGAGTGTTTTAATTATTAAAGAATGGAGCGAAGAGGAGAGTACAAAGGGAAGAGGGGCAAACAAGAAAGATATTTTTTTAGATCAAAATGATATTCCAGTAACAAATAGAGGTATTTATAATAAGGGCTGGGAATGTAGCTTAGTGGTAGAGTGCTTACCTAGCATGCATGAAGCCCTAGGTTTGATTCCTCAGTACCACATAAACAGAAAAAGTAGGAAGTGGCACTGTGGCTCAAATGGTAGAGTGCTCTCCTTGAGTAAATGAAGCTCAGGGACAGTGCCCAGGCCCTGATTTCAAACCTTAGGACTGACTGGCAAAAATAAAAAGAATGAAATATGCATATATTCCTTACTAAAATGAAAGGAAAACTAAATACTATGATAGCTTTCACTTTTGTGTGTGTGTGTGTGTGTGTGCCAATACTTGGGCTTGAACTCAAAGTCATACACTAATTTTTGTTTCTCATGGCTAGTACTCTACCATTTGAGCCATACCACCAGTTCCAACTTTCCTTTTCTTTATAAGCTTTCCCTGATATATTCTTAGGTTGGTCCAGATGGTTTGATGAAGTTGAATGGTTCAGCCCTTAACAATGAGTTCTTCACTTCAGCAGCTCAAGGGTGGAAGGAAAGACTCTCAGAAGGTAAGTTGTCTACCAGTATACAGGCTCTATGTGCACTAGGAGTCAAGTGAGAGTATGTACATTGGCAGTTCTCTACCTCACAAGGTGTTTAAGAAATGTTGAAAAGTATATGGCATATATGTGTACACTGGAGGGAAACCAGGAGGACGACACAGAACTAGAGGGAATCAGGGAAAAACATACAACAGTGGGACCCGTCCTGCACTGGATGTTGATCAGAATGAACTAAGCAACTCAATGGCAGTGATGGCAGGGAGGGAACAAGTGGGAAGGAGGGAACAGCTGATGCTATGCAAAACAAAGGAAATGTACATACCACCCAATGTGGAAGAAATAGCTATTGCAAAGCTCATAGAACTCATAAATGCTATAGACCATGATATACAATTTGCCCCATGAAAGTTAGAATGTGTTTGTAACTTTAAGCATCACTACCTCACAATACTATGAAATTTGGGAAATTATGTAATCACTTAATCACAATAAAGAATTCAGGGAAAAAAAGAAAAGAAATGTTGAAAGGTAAAGACTGGAAGTGTCCAAAAAATAGAATTAGCTATCCTATGTGAAACACAGTGCCAGACTTTCCTTTGGAGTCTGTGTATCCAGACAGAGTCCAGCAATCTTCCTCCCTTTCCTTTCTTTTTCCACTTCTTCTCCCTCCCTCACTCCCTCCCTCCCTATCTCTCTCTCTCTCTCTGTTTCCCTCCCTCCCTCCCCCCCCCCCCATCAGCAAAATTCATGGCTTTATCTTCCTCCCTTAGTTGTGGTGGTTGAGGCTCGAACTCAGGCCTTAGCCTTTTTTTTTTACTAAAGGTTGGCACTCTTATCCATGCCTTCATTTTAGATATTTTGCTGGTTAGTTGGAGATAAGAGTCTCTCTAATTTGCCTATCCTCGTTGGCTTTGAACTGCAGTCCTCAGATCTCAGCCTCCTGTGTAGCTAGGATTACAGGCATGAGCCACCATTGCCCAGATAGGCTTTTCGTTTTAACTGCATAATGAAAAGCTCTGGCCTGCACAGCACACACAGCACTGTCCTTTAACTTAAAGATAATCTTCCAGTTAGGCACACTGCTGATCCAGGTACCAGTGGCTCATACCTGTAATCTTAGTTACTTAGGAGGCTCAGATCTGAGGATCACAGTTCAAAGCCAGCTCTGGCAGGAAAGTCCATGAGACTCTAATCTTCAATTAACTACCTGAAAACCAGAAGTGGCGCTGTGGCTCAGATCGTAGACCACTTGCCTTGAGCTGAAGAGCTCAGGGACAGCACCCAGGCCCAGAGTTGGAGCCCCAAAACTGACAAAAACAAAAGCAAAAATACTAAAGAGACCTAAAATATTACACTTTTCCTTGGAGGAACCTAACTTTAAAATATTAAGATGCAGCCCTAGCCACTCAGAAGCCTGAGATCTGAGGCCCACAGTTCCAATCCAGCCAGGGCAGAAAAGTCCCTGTAAGACTCTTATCACCAAGTAACCACTCAAAAACCGGAAGTGGTGCTGTGGCTCAAGTGGTAGAGCACTAGTCTTGAGTACAAAGAGGCTCAGGGACAGCGCCCAGGCCATGAGTTCAAGCCCTACAACTGGTGTGTGTTGTGTGTGTGTGTGTGTGTGTGTGTGTGTGTGTGTGTGTGTGTGTGTGTGTGGTGCTAGTGACATTTACTGAAAACATATCACTTTTTTTTCCACTAGAAAGGAGAAACATGTAATGCATTTAACAGGAGGGCAGTGCTTCTGAGTGACCTAGGATGAGGCACTGTAGGCCTTAGCTGAGTACAAGAACCACATGAAGCAGTATACAGACAAGTCCTTTTATTTCACTTTGTGCTTTTCCAGAAGCTTCAGTAACTTTCACATTTTGTTGGGTTTTCTCTATGGGTCTTTCATGATTTATTAATAGGTAAAAGTTGCAAATAGTGTTCTTTCTATTCAGTATCTTTAAAAAAACAAAACAAAACTACATTACAGGTGAGTTTACCCCAGAGATGCAGGTGAGAATTCGACAAGAGATTGAGAAGGAGAAAAAAGTGGAGCCATGGAAGGAACAATTCTTTGAAAGCTACTACGGTCAGAGGTAAATGAAGATAGGTTCTGTAAATGAGATATTGATTCCTACACATATGTCATGTGTTGTTTTTAACTCTTACTCAGTAGAAATTAATAATGCCTAATTTGCTTTTTCAGTTGATCAATTTTTATTTGTAAGGTGCTGGTACTGATGCTTGAACATAGGGTCTGGGAACTGTCCCTGAGATTTTTTTGTTCAAGGCTCTTGCTTTACCACTTGAGCCACAGCTCCACTTCTAGCTTTTTGGTAGTTAATTGGAGGTAAGTCTCATGGACTTTCCTGCCCAGGCTATCATCAAACCTTAGTCCTCAGATCACAGCCTCCTGAATAGCTAGGATTATAAGCATGAACCACTGGTGCCTGGCCTGATTTTGTCTTTCTATAAAATCATCATAAATGCATATAATTGGTTTACTCTTAATCCTTAATATACCAACACTGTATGAAGTAGATGTTTTATTAGCATTTTATTAGCTTACATTTATTATAGTGGGGGATATCATTGTTGCATTTCCATATATCTTAACAGTTTTCCATATATCTTAACAGTATCTTCCAGAGCTGGGTTACAGGTGGCTCAAGCCTTTAATCCTAGCTACTTAGGAAGCTGAGATCTGAGGATCGTGGCATGGTTCAAAGCCAGCCCAGGCAGAAAAGTCCCATTGAGACTCTTCAATTAACCACTCAAAAACTAGGAGCTGTGGATGAAAGTGGTAGAGTGCTAGCCTTGAGCAAAAGAGTTCTGGACAACACCTAGACCCTGAGTGCCTAATGACTGAACCAAAAAAAAAGACACCAATATGGTCCAGTCAATTTCTCCCCCTTTTTCACTCTTCTTTCCCTTCTCAGGACACTTTCAGCAAATATCCTTGTTCTGTTTTCATAGTTGCAGACAATCTATTTTGACCATACTTATCCTCTTTCAAATGTATTTCAAAATTATTCACTATTTTTTCTTTTTATAATAGATATTTTTTTTAATGAGTTGGCTTTTGTTTTTAAATCTTTAATTAGAGTCTTTTCCTTGGAAAAGACCAGCTTTTCCTTCAGTAACCTTATGAGATATAAGAACACTGAAGTTCTATGCATTTTTATAGTACAATGTAACTTATCCAGAACCACTAGAGTCCTAGAAATCAGGTGTATCCTGTAATTAAACAGCTCTCCTCTTCAAAAGATATTAGGAGAGGGACATCAGAGAACCAACACATAATAAACCCTATTTTTAAAGAACTATAGTCTAAATCAATAAAATCAAATGAAATTTTAATAGAGACATTTAAGACACAGCACACAGTAGATCAGCAGCACACAATCCCATTCTCGAGCAAGATCAAATAAGACTTAAACAGACTTTCCCAAAACCTTATTTGTAATTCTCAGCCTTTCTTTTTGGTCAATTGTGGGGCTTGAAACCAGGACCTGGGAGCTGTCCCTGAGTTTTTCTGCTTAAGGTTAGTGCTCTGCCACTTGGAACCACAGCTCCACTTCCAGTTTTTTGGTGGTCATTCAGAGATAAGAGTCTCGTGGACTTCCCTACCTGGACTGGCTTTGAACTGTAATCCTCAGATCTCAACCTCTTGAGTAGCTAGGATTACAGGCGTGAACCACCAGTGCCCACCATTCTAAGTCTTTAGCCACTAGCACCTATAAATTCTCAATCTTTATAGAACATTGACAGACAATTTCTTAATATCTTCTCAGGGCTCCTTTTGATTCTTGTACCCACCTTTCTACAAGTAGTGCAGAGCCAATGTATTCACGGTTCCAATGCAAGTCCCACAGTGGATGGGTCTTGACTTACTTCCTTAAGGTAGTCTACAATCCATTCCTCTAGACAGTAAGGCTCCTTAATTAGTAGAACAATAATAACTACTATTATTAAGCTTTTATCCTGTAACAAATAAGTACTTAACACAAAATAGTAAGTACTTATTATAGCAACATTGTGTTGTAATCATTATCCTCAATAAAGAACCTGAGGTGCTAAAAATTAGCACTTACTTGGTATCACATGGACAGTTAGTGTCAGCGCTAGGATTGGTAACTGTGTCTAGGGTTTTCCTGGTTATTGTCATCATTTTCCTATGGGCCATTGCTCAACTAGAATTTTTTTTTCCTGCTTTTTAGTTCTGGCTTAAGCCGTGAAGATTCAGAGAAACTGACGGCTTCCCACAGTGATCCCCAAATAAAGAAAAGCCCTACTGAGCAACCAAAGTCCATACTTCCTTTGGAGGCCTCTCCCGTCCAAATAACCCCAGTAGTTTCTCAGTCAGAATGTAAAGAAGAAGCAGTGCAGATGCCATCACCAATCAGTAAAGAAGAGCATGAGAGCCAAGATGAGGGGCAACCAACCTTCAAATCCACAGACCCCATGCATGCCTCCGCCAGCAACACAAATAAGCTTAGCAGCACTCCTCCTATCAAATACCCAAAGGAAGAAGATCTCTTGGAGCAGAAGCCAGTCACCTCTGTTGAACAGGAGTCTGAAAAAGAGAATCATCTCGTCACAGCTTCTAATTCTGACAGAAGTAAAAGCCAAGAAGCTTTAGTTACATCCCCAAGCAAGCCCAAGAGTCCTGGGGTAGAAAAACCAATAATGAAGCCCCTAGCAGATACAGATCTACAGGAGACCTGTATTAAAGAACCTCCAGCAATACTTAGTGATCAGAGCCCAGAAAGCCTCAAGAGGAAATCTTCTCTCACTCAAGAAGAGGCCCCTGGAAGCTGGGAAAAAAGGCCACGTGTCACTGAAAATTGCCAGCACCAGCAGCCATTTCATGTCTCGCCACAGCCCTTTCTCAATAGAGGGGACAGGGTCCAGGTGCGAAAAGTACCACCTCTCAAGGTAAAAGAGTGGGGAGAGTTGAAGGGAAGAGATGGCTTGAGAACTAAGTTTGTGCACTTACCTACTAAATTTCAAGTAATTTGTGGTATTTCTTAAAGTGAAAAAAATTGTGTATTTGATATGCCTTAATTCTAATTTTAATTCTAAAGTTTCTTTTTTTTTTTAGTCCGGTCGTGGGGCCTGAACTCTGGGCCTGGGCACTGTCCCTCAGCTCTTCAGCTCAAGGCTAGCGCTCTACCACTTGAGCCACAGCGCCACTTCCAGCTTTTTTCTTTTTGCTTATGTGGTGCTGAGGAATCGAACCCAGGGCCTCAGGCATGCAAGGCAAGCGCTCTATCATTGAGCCACCTTCTCAGCCCCTCTAAAGTTTCTAATAAGCAAGGTTTTTGTTTTTGTTTTTTCCTTTCCTAGAACTGCTGTTGAAAATCGGGACCTTGTGCTTGGTTGACTTGCTTTGCTTAGCTGGCACTCTGCCACTTAAGCCATACCTCTAGCCCATCTTTTTTTTTTTTTTTTTTTTTTTTTGGCCAGTGCCTGGGCTTCTTTTGCTCGAAGCCAGCACTCTACCACTTGAGCCGCAGCGCCATTTCCGGCTTTTTCTGTTTATATGGTACTGAGGAATAAAACCTAGGGCTTCATGCATGCTAGGCAAGCAATCTATCACTAAGCCACATTCCCAGCCAACTTTTTGCTGGTTATTTTTAGAGATAAAGGCACAGGACCCTGTGTTCAAACCCCAGTACTGTCCTGCTCCATGCCCTCCAAAAAATATTCTCAAGCTGGGAATGTGGCTTAGTGGTAGAGTGCCTGAGTTCAAGCCCCAGGACTGGCCAAAAAAAAAAGGTTTTTCGTGTAACATTTGTTCCTATATAAAATTTTCCTAAGCAACTGTCCTATGTATAATTTTCTAGTTTTATCATCTTTTCCCTGTAATCTTTTCTAGATAATAGTGGCAAGGTACCATTGGTTCTTTCTTACTGTGGGTGTAATAGAATTGGGTATAAATAAATTCAGCTTTAAAGGAGATTGAGTAAAACACCTGGTCTTTTTGACAAATGTTTTTTTTTTTTTTTTTTTTTTTGTCGGTCGTGGGGCTTGAACTCTGGGCCTGGGCGCTGTCCCATAGCTCTTCAGCTCAAGGCGAGCTCTCTACCACTTGAGCTACAGCACCACTTCCGGTTTTCTCGTGGTTTATTGGAGATAGGAGTCTCATGGTCTCTCCTGCCCGGGCTGGCTTTGAACCGCGATTCTCAGATCTCAGCCTACTGAGTAGCTAGGATTACAGACGTGAGCCACCAGCGCCCGGCTTGACAAATGTTTTTAAACCCAGGACTAACTTGAATCAGATAGAATTAGTTTTTCGGGACTGCTGCCCTTTTGAGAATTAAAATAATGGTAATTTTTTAGTGGCAATATTGTGAATTTAAGGATTTCCAGAGATGGCATGCGTTTCTTAGACCTTAGTGGCTTGATTTTTCTTTTAAGAAATGCTCCAGAACATCTCAAATTTTTTGCTCTTTTAAATTAAGCCAACCAGTTCAAATCAGTGAGGGCTGGGATGGTGGCTCAGTGGTAGAGTGCTTTCCTTGCATGCATGAGGTCCTGGATTCGATTCCTCAGCACCACATAAACAAAAAGAAAAAAGCCGAAAGTGGTGCTGTGGCTCAAGTGGTAGAGTGCTAGCCTTAAGCTGAAGAGCTGAGGGACAGCTCCCAGACCCAGAGTTGAGGCCCTACAACTGGACCCCAAAAACAAAACAAAAAATCAGTGAAGTATGAGGTTATTGCAAGTAGCTTTTTAAAATTACATTTTTTTCTCAATGTTGTGATTTGTAAACTTTGGTGTAGAACCGTGTGTGTGTGTTTGGTGTAGAACCCTGTGTGTGTGTATTTGGTGTAGAACCCAGTTTGTGTGTGTGTGTGTGTGTGTGTGTGTGTGTGTGTGTGTGTGTGTGTGTGTGTGTGTGTGTGTGTGTTTGGTGTAGAACCCTGTGTGTGTGTGTGTGTGTGTGTGTGTGTGTGTGTGTGTGTGTGGTGTAGAACCCTGTGTGTGTGTGTGTGTGTGTGTGTGTGTGTGTGTGGTGTAGAACCTTGTGTGTTTGTGTGTTGTTGTTTTTAAAGGCTGCCCAAATAAGTAAAATACCAACCAGGGATGAGAATTACTGGTAAATACTTAAGTTCATGATTCTATATGAGCATAATAGAATCCTAAACAATTTGTGCTCAGCCATAATGAAAAAATATAAGAGTTAAGGGCATTTTGTTAGTCTCATGAATGAAAACTGAGCTCTATTTTGTTTCCACCTTCCCTACCTCTTTCAGATCCCGGTCTCCAGAATCTCCCCCATGCCATTTCCTTCATCGCAGGTCTCTCCCAGGGCTCGCTTTCCAATCTCCATCACTAGTCCTAACAGAACAGGAGCCAGAACTCTTGCAGACATCAAAGCAAAAGCCCAGCTGGTCAAAGCACAGAGGGCAGCAGCTGCAGCCGCTGCCGCAGCTGCTGCAGCCGCCTCAGTTGGAGGGACCATTCCAGGACCTGGCCCTGGGGGTGGACAGGGTCCAGGAGAGGGCGGTGAGAGGACAACTGCCAGAGGAGGGAGTCCGGGCTCAGGAAGAGTCAGTGCAACTGGAAAGGGCCCCACACTGGAACTGGCAGGAACTGGAAGCAGGGGAGGTACGCGAGAGCTTCTACCCTGTGGTGCAGAGATTCATCCCCAACCTGAGACCAAGCCCTCAGGCCTGGCCCAGCCTCCTAGTGTCTCGGGAGCACAACTACAGCAAACCCCCTCAGGGCCTGCAGTACCTGCCAACAGTGGAACAGGCACAAGTGTCCCATCAGCAGCCCACATAGAGAAATCAAATAGTGAGAAACCAAGTCCTACCAGGATAAGGGCTACAGTGGCCTCACCTAGCCATCTACCAGGGCCCACTAATTGCAGACAGGAGAGAGCTCCTTCTCCAATAGGGCCTGCATTGATCTCAGGAGTCTCGCCTGTTTGTTTTGTAGCAGATGTCCCAGGTGAACCAAAAGCAGGTTCTGGCCAGAATACACCAAACCCTTCAGCTTCATCAAAGACAACTGCTGCTTTTCCAGTGGATGCAACTTTGTCCCCATTAACATCTGTATTGACAACAGCCACTTTAGAAAAACTTCCTGTATCCCAGATCAATGTTACTGCAGTGTCTACTGGATCAGCTCCATCCTTGAGCACTTTGCCAGCAGCTTCTAGCCTTAAACCCTCGGGAACTTCCACAAATATGAATGGACCCATTTCAAGGCCGAGCTCTAGTATCCCTGCTAATAATCCTTTAGTTACTCAGCTGCTCCAGGGCAAAGATGTTCCCATGGAGCAAATTCTGCCCAAACCTCTCACCAAACTTGAAATGAAAACTGTTCCATTGACTACAAAAGAGGGGATAGGAACGCTCACAGGCACCAGCGTGACAGAGAGCGCCAGAGACGAAGGCAGTGACCGACAGCCTCATGCAGCTATCCAGCAAGGGAAATTGATGCAGGGGAAACAGCTCCCCCAGGTCCCAAGGCCTCTGCAGCTCTTTTCAGCTAAAGACTTGAGGGACTCTAGCATGGATACACACCAGTACCAAGAGGGACTAAGTAAAGCAACCCAGGATCAGATTCTTCAGACTCTCATTCAGAGAGTTCGGAGGCAGAACGTTCTTTCATTTGTGCAGCCCTCCCAGTTCAACTTTACTCACTCAGGTTTCCAGTTAGAAGACATTTCCACAAGCCAGAGATTCATGCTGGGCTTTGCTGGCAGAAGGACATCAAAACCTGCAATGGCAGGTCACTACTTACTTAATATTTCTACCTATGGTCGGGGTTCAGACAGCTTTAGGAGGACCCATTCTATAAACCCTGAAGACCGGTTTTGTCTAAGTAGCCCCACGGAAGCCTTGAGAATGGGCTGTACAGATTGTAAAAACCCAACAGGAGATAGTAGCAGCAGTAAAGAAGAGGAGACTGATGAGGAGAGCACAGGCGATGAGCAAGAGTCCAGCTTGGTGAAGGAGGCGCCCCAGGCTTCCCAGACTTCTGGCAAGCATGACACAAGTTCAGGATCTCAAAGTAGGGAGACCTCATCCACCAATGATTGCTCAGCTAACAAGAATGGGAAGGGTGAGGCACAAGTGAATGAGCAAACCACTTTAAGCAAGGAGAATTACATGCTCGCTAGAGGCCAAGCATTTGATGAAAAGACAGTAGCTAGGGATTTTATTCAGGCAGCACAGAAACAGATGGCTCATGTGGTAAGAGGTAAGACAATGCATAGCAGCCCTGAACTTTTCAATTCCACTGCTCTTTCTCTACCTGCAGACAGTCCCACCCATAAGCCTCTACTCCTTCCACCACTGCAAACCCCAAAGGCATATGGGAGCCCCACACAAATAGGGCCAAGTTACAGAGGCATGATCAATGTCTCCACCTCATCAGACGTGGACCACAACTCTGCTGTACCAGGTAGCCAGGTATCTAGCAATGTAGGTGATGTCATGTCCTTCTCAGTGACTGTCACTACCATCCCTGCTAGCCAAGCTATGAATCCCAGCAGCCATGGCCAGACAATTCCTGTTCAGGCCTTTCCTGAAGAGAACAGCATTGAGGACACACCTTCAAAATGTTACTGCCGGTTGAAAGCCATGATCATGTGCAAAGGATGTGGCGCTTTCTGCCATGATGACTGCATTGGCCCCTCCAAACTCTGCGTCTCCTGCCTTGTCGTTCGGTAATGAGACTAGAAAGATGTATACTGTAAAGGAGGGAAAGGAAAGAAAGGGAAGGAAAGAATTGGCAAGATATGTTCTCGTGTCCTTTTGGAATCAGAGGAATAAGGGTTCAGTTGTCTTAAGAGACAAATGGTAATCAGGAATAGAAAGTCCAACCTTTTACATGTTAAAGGAAGAGCACCTTGTATAGTAAGTCTAAGTCAAGCAAGACTATGAATTTGTGACAAGTTTGCACTTACAAAATCATGTAAATACGTCACATTTTAACATTGTTTTCCAAGTGTTTAGGTAATAATGTACTGCTTTGAATTCTGATTTATGTTCTTTTTTTGTGACTAAGAAAGGTTGAATGCCATATGTGGTAAAAGGAAATTATCTCCCTTCTGACCTTTCTTGGAGCTAAGATAAAGGAGAAGTGATCTAACGAAGTGATCACTCATACTGACGATGTCTTCACAGCCTGGCTGCAGTTGATTCATGAATTATTTGTCCTTCAAGAGATTTTGGTCAGGGTTTACTCAGGATTTACGTACCTTAGATGTGATCCTTTAGTATGTTATTAACATCCCAGGTGGTGTTTTGACCCCAGAAGCCCCAATTTGGCTCTTGGCCTCCATGAAACCAGTACGGTTGTCAAGCTGGGCCCTGCTGTTTGCTAATGCTCCGCTCCTGGCCTGAGACTGTGTGTGACTCACGAAAGGAGTGCCTCTGTGTACCATAGGTTGTACACATCAACAGTTTAGCAATAATGCACCCCCACACTGTCTTATGGAAGCCCACAAAACTGTTTTGAAATACCAGTGTAAAAGTAGCAGACACATGTTAGTGATGGATGCACTGTGTCTTGGACAAGGAATGAATTGCAGAAACTTAAACTGAACATAATGAACTTTGGAAAATTATTTTAACACTAGACACAAGATAACCTCTTCCTCTTTTTCCCAACCCATTACCAGATGTCATAGAGTTAGCTGTGGCAGGTAAAAAATTTCCTTAATGGCACATTGGCTCCTGTTTAGCCTCTTGACACGAAGGCATCTAAGGAGTAGTGACTATCCCATCTCATCTTAAAATACTAATGTATGTCCACACATGAATAGTACAGGTTTGCTGGTTTAGAAAAGGAATTCATTGTTTTCGAATTATTGCTGCCTGTGTAACAGGACTGGCTTATATACGGGAGCTTTGGTGAATGACTAAAGAAATGTCTCAAAGAAAAGCTCCAATGTTTTGGTTATGTTTTTATTTTTCCTTTTTTGTTGTTAAAATCCTTTCCAAGTGACTGACAGATTTAGAAAATATACTATTTAGGTCATGTCCAAAGAACATTTGAAAAAAATATAATTTACTAGAATTTGGTATTATATAGGAGATTCTTGATATGTATCAATTGTTTATTGATTCTGGGTCTCCTGGTTTGAAGTATATAAAGTAAAAACATTAGTGCAACCTAACACAATTGTATTTGTACTTAATATTTTATAAATTTTGCAACAGTTTAAATCTGTTAATTAAGTCACATTCCAGATTAGGAAGAAGGAGGCAATAACCTGTTGAGCCTCCATTCTGCTATCTCCCCTGATCACTTCATTCCCTGCCTTTAATGTTTTCCATAGTTCTACTCCAAATTCCATAGGAAACCAATTTTACCACTTTTCTTCTCTGGTTCTTTTGTTGTGTAGCCCAAGGCAAATAATAGGATTAATACCTGTGTTATAGTTTCAGCCAAGACAATATGATGTCCTTCCTTCTCTCTCCTTCTACCACATGCATACCTAAGAGATAAATACGGCTGCATAGATCCAGAGATAAGTTTTCAAGCAAAGGAGGAATAGGAAACAGAAACTAGGCTTCTGCTCTCTAACTTCCTATTCCCTGGGTAAGATTCTATGTCCAGCTGTTCTATTCCCCACTCTAGTGACAGCTCTGAGTGCTGGCCTTTATGCTGATATATGATAAATATCAGATAGCAGTTTGCATTGATGAAATAGGTTTTTCTGCTTCGTTCCTTTCCTGGTTCTTTTAAGCTGAGGATGGATAAACTGTAACCAGGACACGAAGATGATGTCAGTCCATTTAGAGAAGCTCTAAATGTCCTAAGCATTGCTACTCACCAGATTTTCCTAAATCACACCCAACTAAGTATGTACATTTAGGAATACTCCCTAAACAGAAATTGCCAAATAGGCACACAGCCTCAGACCTGGCCAGATGAGAAAATAGGTTCTTTCAATTAGAGGAAGGTTAAATACCAATTCATTTAATTTACTTTAAAACAATGGTGTCAAATAGAAGACCATTTGTCTTATAACTGAACAGAAAAAAGCACTCTAGTTTGGCCCTTTAAACTTGTTAAGAGTATGGTGCTCCACTAACTTTCAGAAGAATTTTTATATTAGCTTTTTGTTGTTTTAAATTCATTCTGAATAAGTGCCGAGTGTATTCTTTGGGAGTTAAGTGGCACTACTTCCATTGACAAGTCAGATAATCTGCCTAATGGAAAGCCCCTCAGAGCTCCCCCATAGCCTTCAGGTCACCTTTGGGAGAGCATGCTTACAATGTATCATCTCAGTTTATTGACGTTCTATTCTAAGTTGTTGAGTAGAACTCTTTCTGAATCTTAAAGATTTTAGATTAATCAAAATTTCTCATCCTGTTTTAAACTCCAGCTAGCCTAGAGCTATTTGCCCTACTTCTGCCCCTTTGCCCCCGTCTGAAGACACCGAATCCATATCTGTTGTTCTGTATAACATTTTTTTAAGAATAAGAGCTGGAAAATAGACACTTGGGGGCGGGATGGGGAGAGAGTGTATATAGGAGCAGGGACAGCACCATAGATGTGGATATTTTATAGCTGATATCTCAGACTTAAATATCCAAAGGAAGTCCTCACTGCCTTCCTAGTGCAGGTACAAGGCGATACATATTAATGACCCATCGTTAACCATCCTCATTGCTTTTTATTGCTTTCTTCCACTTCAGTGATTCTAAAGGAACTCTTTGGTTAAATGATTTGTTACAATCAGAGGAGTGTTCTCTAGTTATTATACTGCTGTTTATTTCTAGAACTCACTGTCAAGGAACAGTTGTTTCCTGTTTAACATCACATCAGTAGCAGGGGGAAAGTCTCCCAATTGCTTTATAACAATGTAATAAATAAAAAAATTTGGGCAAGGATAGTTTGCAGCTCAATTTATACAATAGTCCAAAGAGACTTTTTGGAACATGATGATAGGCAGGGACCTTTCCTACATGTTTCAGTACCTACGTACCTATTGGAAGAAAACAGTAGGTAAGACATTTCCTAAAAGTTGAAGCAGTGGCTTCATAGAGTCTTGGTTACTTTATTTTTTTTAATGCTTTACATTTGATACAACTATTAAAGATCAATTTTAAAAATAGCTTTCCAGTAATATATTTTAAGTAATATATATTTTAATATCTATGTAAAAAGCAACAGTGGAAGACTGAATTTCTCATAGATGGTATGTTTGATGTAGGACCTCACTGTTAAGGCACAAATTATTTCAAAGGAAATTAAAGACGCTTCATTATTTCAAAAAAAAAAATGCAATAAGGGGGATTGTTTGGGGGTGGGTGGGTTATTTTTTATTTTAAAAGAAAATTGACTTATTTACCAAAAGCTATATTTTCCCCTCTGGTGATAAGGTTTGTACAGACTGGTTTGGTAAATGCTAAACTTTTGTGTCTTTTGCCTTTTTTAAAGGAATTGTTAACATTGGAATTGAGGGTGTGTACAGAGAAGTTGGTGTCAACACCATTTAATAAGTCATATTTTTTCACAAATATAGAATAAAATCATTTTACATAAGAATTTTAAGTATTTGCAATAAATATATGTATATAGATTGTATGTATTCATATATTCTTATTTTTCATTTTATTATTAAGTAAAAGATGATTAAAAATGAAATTGAAAACCTTGGAGTTTCTGGTGAGTCTCGAGGTCTGACGTCCATCTGAGAGTGACATGGGGAAGGCCCTCCATGGTTGCCTTATGCTCTGCGGGGAAGGTTCTACTGACTATGCAAAAAAGAGGAAAATGAGAGATTTGGTGATAAAATCAAGGTAGTGCAATTCTATTAGAACTCAAATTAGCATATTCTCCTAGCCTGTCTCTCATCTTTTCTCTTGTAATCTGCTGTCTCCTAACCACCTAAAGTTACTGGAAAAGTAGAGAGAACATAGTCTCACATTTAATGTATCCATTGTTGCTTCAAAACAAATAGTTGTGAGGAGGACATGCTTCAACAAAAAAGTTTTTTCTCTTTTTTTTCCAAACAGGGATGTCATTAGTAAACATTTATTCCCTCCATCTTCCAGCCCTAGAGGTATGTGGAGAAATAACCTCTTGGAAGATACAGATATAATCTGTCTTCTGTGCACTACTTCCTTTCTTTCTTTTTTTTTTTTTTTTTTTGGTTGGTTGTGGGGCTTGAACTCTGGGCCTCGGCATTGTCCCTTAGCTCTTCAGCTCAAGGCTAGCGTTCTACCACTTGAGCCACAGCACTATCTCTGTTTTTTTCTGTTGATGTGGCTCTGAGGAATTAAACCCAGGGCCTCATGCATGTGAGGCAAGCCCTCTACCACTGAGCCACCTTCTCAGCCCTTAACTGGTTCCTTTCTGAGAAGCGAGTTTCATAGACAGACAGATCCCTTTCCTACTTGTCTGATCTGAGAGGCCCAGAGCTAGGAGAACAGTATGAAGAGAAACATTGGTATTTTGATTAGATTACGTTTCACCATTTGACTCCTGCATTTCTAGTACCCTTGTGTCAGGAAGGATACTTGTAAATATGGAGATCAAGCAGATGTTAAGAGAGGGTCATTGTCTGGTGGAAGAGGATATTTTGAGGGGAGCAGAATGAAGCCTAGATGGCCTTTGTTGATAAAGGCATATATCTTGTTTTGTTTTTTAAGGATAATACTGGGCTGGGGTTGTGGTAGTTCAGCGACAAGAGCCTGCAGAATGTACAAAATAAAATTGATCAAGTTAGCTTTTCAAGACTACGTCTCAGTGACACATGAAACTGACTATGGTTAGCTGTCCTCAAAATTGTTCAGCTGGTTATTTTCACTGAAAAAAAATGACATACTTTGAAAATTAGCAGTAAAAAGATCATGGCTTTAAGACACAACTGATTAAAAAATATTTTTTAAAAAAAGACAACTGAGGTAGGGCACTTGAGGTGTAGTGAGGGGAGTGAGAGATTGTTTTTGAATTTTTTTGTTTGTTTGTTTTGTTTTTGTCGGTCGTGGGGCTTGAACTCTGGGCCTGAACGCTGTCCCTCAGCTCTTCAGCTCAAAGCTAGCGCTCTACCACTTGAGCTACAGCACCACTTTGTTTTTGAAATTTTTGAGAAGTTTCAAACATCTGGGTTGCCCAACAACCTTGGATACAGTGAAGCCATCCAAGGGAAAAGCACTGTAGATCTTACCTGAAGATAAACTGCTTCTAAAGGAAATTTCTTAAGTCTCAGGGAACATCTGCATCATCATAATTTCCATATACAATAGACATTAAGATGAGATGTGTTATGGCCATTGACAAATATTGACATTTTAAATGGGCCACCTACTTCGTGGGAAGTTCATATACATATGACATTTGCACCTAAAGGCCTGCAATTCAAAGAGAAAGTAGTGTACTAGAACACAAGACAGCTTCCTTGTGGACTCATAACTATCCTTTATTTTCTTCACAGTGTCTGGGATATTTTGATTTTTTTATACTATTTGTCCTCAGCTGGTTCTCAGAAGTCAAACTTAAGTCTGACTTGTTGAAACCCCTTTGTGCAACTACTTTAAAAAAAAAAAGATTTCTACAATATTTTAACTTGATCTACAAATGATGTTCCTAGTTCACATATTTATTGGGTTTTGCTGTGTACTAAGCACCAGTAAGCACTGATTAAAGTATTGATTAGGTTTTCCTAAAGTAATAAACATACATGTTCTTAATTCAGAGCTCCAGGTGTAATCAGTGCTACATGTTTCCCAAATGAGTATAAAACAGTATTTCAGGCACCAGGCAAAACAGCAAAAAGCGAAGAAAAGCATTGTCCTTAGATTAAAAATGGCCCATGTGGAAGTGAAGAGCCATGTTTATAAGAAATAACTTTCTTGGGCTAGGAAGGTGGCTCAGTGGTAGAGCGCTTGCCTTGCATGCATGAGGCCCTGGGTTCGATTCCTCAGCACCACATAAGCAAAAAGAAAAAAGCCGGAAGTGGCGCTGTGGCTCAAGTGGTAGAGCGCTAGCCTTGAGCTGAAGAGCTGAGGGACAGCGCCCAGGCCCAGAGTTCAGGACCCATGACGACCCAAAAAAAAAAACCAAAACCTTTCTTGACAACTATCATTGGAATACATACATAGAAGAGCAGGCCAAAAACAATTCCTAAGATTAACTGGTCAGTATGTGTTCTGCCAACCCTTCCTCTGTGGTTGTTCAAAGCCAAAAGTTTTATAGTTTTTTTGTTTGTTGTTTTTACAAGACAATTTTCATTTTACAGATCAGTAGAAATTAGTCCCTTTTGAATCGTATCCATTTTTTCCCTCCATAATGGATATGTCATTTTGTTTTGCTTTCTATTGTAGAACTAGTCCTCTTTGCTCTAGTCAGGAATAAAAAGAGCTTTAGCATAACTATTGGCTCGAATTCTAAGTTTGTTTTCCAGTCCTGGGGCTTGAGCTTGGGGCCTAGACCCTGTCCCTAAACTTGGGTTTTGCTCAAGGCTACCGCTCTACTGGAGCCACAACTCCATTTCTAGCTTTCTTGGTTGTTAATTGGAAGTAAGTGTTATGGATTTTCTTGCCTATGCTGCCTTTGATTAGCGGTCCTCTGAGCTTAGCCTCCTGAGTAGTTAAAAATTACAGGTGTAAACCAGCATAAGCCACTAGTGCCCAGCTTCAAATCCTAATTCTTGAGACTCTGGATAGGAAAGTCTTAAAGGGATAGTCCATGGTATATTATCAATGCTTAGTCTTGATTTTTCTTTACCAATTGTCTTTAACCTGGATTATTGGATTCCCAGCTTGGTTTCTGTATGCCAACATGTCTATTTACCTTTCAAAGAGGTGTTCAGTGCATTCCACTGTAATGTGGTCTTGGCTCTGTCCAGCAAAGTAGGAGGGAGGAAGTCCTCTATTTTCCTAATATTTGGTGACCTTCAACACAAGATTGGGTTTCTTTCATAGAGGCTATGGATACCTAGGAATGTATCCTCACTCATGTAGCTTTCAGCCTTAACCTA